AAATCGACCATGTTAAAACACTTCTGAGAGAGGTGCACTCACTGCCGGTCCACGATCGCATATAGTAAAAAATTGCAACTTTGTGCTACCGCTGCTTACATGACCTGCCGCCATCCTATCTCCCTCAAAGTACTCATGACGCCTTATGTACCTAAACTACTGCTCCGCTCATCAAATAGTGTCAAAGTATCGATACCGCGTGTTCGTCTTGAGACTTACGGAAAGCGCATTTTCGCATTTGCTGGCCCGACAAATTGGATCGCCCTTCCTGTCGCTCTCAGAAACAGCCAGACACTGGAGTCCTTTAAAACGGATTTAAAAACACATCTATTTCGCAAACACCTTCTTGTGTGATTTTTGTCTACAATCTTTTTCCAATTAATGTATATTGGCTTGTATTGTTTTTGTTTGAAAGGAACGAAAGACTTTGACTTGTTATGCTCGTATGTAGTTTTATACTGTTGCATTTGTTTTTAAATGTGTTAAATTATTGATTGTTTTGATTTCTCAATTTCTCATTTTTTAATATGGTGGACTTTGTACCGCGCATCGAGCTTTTGGGGATAACGCCTTTTTTAAAAATGAACTCTATTATCATAATTTTTGTTCTTTAATGAAAGTTTACAACTTTTAAAAAATGTACAATGATTGAATAAATTGCAACCTGTAGCTGTTACGTCAATACGAATGCCTCTGATCTGGCTGGTTGTGGACGGTGTGAACGCTGCATCGTCCTGGTAGTAGACCGGGTCACGATTCCTGTAGCTGGATGTTATGAAGGTTGGCTTTAGAAATTTATTAGAATATCACAATGTTTGTTTTCTTCTAAAACTTAATTGATCAGTAGGAAAATGTGGCTACACGAGATAGACAGATTCAAGCGTTAAATGCCAATTAATCGGATGCTACTATTAAAGATTTGTCAGATGAACGATTAACTAAAAGAAGTGTTTGTTTATTCAACAAATTGCAATACTATGCTAGCCAGAGGATTCAATGACACGATCTTTATTTTACCTAAAAATTAATACTTACTACAAGTATAAGTATACATATATTATACTTAATACTGCCAGTGGAATTATCAAAGCAGTTGGACCTCCAATTACTATAATAAGGAACATGTTGTTGGTAGACCCACTCACAGCTGCATCTGTTGCGTAATACGTATTAGGCAGAATCAGGTACTTGGTTGGGTTTCAATTTGTAATTTTTTTTTTACATGCTTAATTCTAACGTCCCGTATTTAAAGTCTCAAGTTTGCATTCTATAAATGTAGCTATGGTGGAGCATGAAGCGATACCTTTTAGTGTGGCTATACACAAATGGTTATTAAAAAAATGTAGCTATGGTGGAGCATGAAGTGATACCCTTTAGTGCTGGCGGCTGTACACAACGATCGCATGTTGTCTATAACTTGTTAAGTCAAAGAAATTATACATTTATAGCCCTAAAGTTTAAAACTTTGTTAGTTTCAAAAAACTACCACGATTTTAATGAAAGAGCACTTTGAAGTGTTATTGTTCTTAGAAATATGTGAAGGAAGATAAAGTTTGTTTAACCAATATATATATATATATATATATATATATATATANTATATATATGTATTGCTGATTGCGATAGTAGATCCAGTTCAATTAAAATAGAAAACTGTTGAGATATAGAAATCAAACAAATTTAAGATTTTCAAAAAAAAAATGTTTAATGCTTACAAGTTCCATTGGTGAGTGGATACATGATTAGTTGGATGACTGGATGGTTGTGCGGCGTGACATTGACTCAGTGGATATTCCGGTAACTAGCCAACTGTTCCTTTGGGATCTTCAGATGCATTGATAGAGAGTATTTGATGTTAGAGAAGAAGCTAACCCTTCTAGCAATTTCTTAGTGCTAAAACTAGGTCTCTTTGAGATGAACGGCTAATACAACTACAAGAACATCTCTTGAGATGAACGGTTACTACAACTACAAGATCATAACTTTGAGATGAATGGTTGCTACAAATACAAGATCATAACTTTGAGATGAATGGTTGCTACAACTACAAGATCATAACTTTGAGATGAACGGTTACTACAAATACAAGATCGTAACTTTGAGATGAATGGTTACTACAACTACAAGATCATACCTTTGAGATGAACGGTTGCTACAACTACAAGATCATAACTTTGAGATGAACGGTTACTACAAATACAAGATCGTAACTTTGAGATGAATGGTTACTACAACTACAAGATCATAACTTTGAGATGAATGGTAAATACAAGATCATCTCTTTGAGATGAACGGTTACTGCAACTACAGGATCGTCTCTATGAGATGAACGGTTAGTACAATTACAAGATCATCTCTTTGAGATGAACGGTTACCAAAACTACAATATCGTCTCTTTGAAATGAAAAGTTACTACAACTACAATACCATCTCTTTGAGATGAGCAGTTACTACAACTACAACATCGTTGCTTTTAGATAATGGTTAAAATCCTTTAAAAAAACACGATAAGATTACTAATGTAAAAATTTTCTTTAAAATGATGATTCACCTGGTCTGAATATACTTTCGCCTAACTAGTCTTTTGAAATAGTTTCATGTGCATTATTGTCTTGGTACTTCAGCTTTAAAACACTTCCTGTTACGAGACGCATCATTGACCATGAAAAAAGTCAGTACCTAAGAACTGGGGTTGAGACGCTAGAACTTTTGTAGCTCGGAGATGGAGACCCAAGATGGAGCAAAGACGACGCTGGTACAAATTTGTAATGCTCCAAGAGCCGATAGGTAAAATATTTTAATATTAAATTCTACTCCACATCCCTGCTAAAAAAACTAAATTCTAAAGTGTCACTTACTGTTCCTGTTGGTGGAAAGTAGAAGACAAAAAGAGTCTGGTATCCACATAATCCATTAAATTATATTAATTTTTAAACTAAAATTAGTACTCCTATATCCCCCACTCACACAATTGCTATCATGTTATTGAGCTTTAGATAAACTCTGACGTCATTATAACTTTAATACTTTCGTTTGCAGTTCTCAGAAATTTTTTATTTCATCGATGACCTTTGACCTTTCTGTGTCATTGAAACAGTGTGCACATTGTCTAGGCTCGGTTTTTAAGTCTTATTAATCCACATATTTATTTAGTTTAGAACTTTAATCAGTGTACTAAATATGAATTTATATATATATATATATATATATATATATATATATATATATATATATATATATATACACCTTTTATTGTGAAACATGATTTTTTATATATATATATATATATATATAGTTATGCAAACCTTCCATTGTGAAACGATGGTTTTACATGGCCGATTCCGATACGGCGGGCTCGAATGCACTTCTGGCAGTACAATCTAGACTTCTCGTTAAACTTGGCACACCGTAATGCTCTTTTTGTTACAAAGGCTGCTGTACGTGCATCTTCTGCGTGTTTGACTCCTGTATACACTACTCTTCCTGTTCGAAATCTGGAACTGTGCTGAGTGATGATCTATGTTGGCTTCCCTGATGCTCCACTTTGAAGCGTCCTTAAATGGCCGTCGCCGCCGTCCAATAAGTCTTGCCCCTTTCTGCCAATTTTCCATTTAGTAGATCGTTTGAAATACCACCTTTCTCTAGTCTCCTTAAAGGGCATATTCAGAGAAGAAGACTCTTGCTTGGCCGAAAAAAATTTGTTAGGCACCTTGCTCTGCCATCGAATGGACAAATGAGAGGGGGACATACTTGTTGGAAGCCGTTGAGTTTCAGCACAGGACTGAAATATGTGTTCCACACTTCAAAGCCATATTTTTGCGTTCTAAGCACATATGCATGTTAGACGCTATACTTTCTATATTTAATTATACAACATGGTTCAATCTTAAGGTTGTTTTTTTTTTTGTATTTTTTTTTTGGTAACATCTTTTTTTTTGGGCTTTTGGTCTAATTTTCCCCTTCACATAACTGAATGGGGGGGGAAAATGGGGAAAGCTCCTTCAAA